TGTGAATGGAACTCAGGGGAACCGTTTGTACGCTGGTCAGACTTCACGACCCTGCAAAGTACCGGTTGGACAATTATTGTCCCATCTGAACTGTGCGAACAACGAAGCAGGTATCAGCAGAGCATCCCAGGCTAGTGAGACTTGCGTGTGAATGGGCTTCTTTAAAGCTCAGCACGCTGAATGAAGCCTACTTCACTATTTACAATCAAATTAAATAATTAAAATACAACTATAGGAAACGACCACTATATTACATAATACCTTTATGATATTTTATAATACCTAAAAGAAAGTACTACTCAATCTTTTGCATTTTAAGGTCTGAAAATGGGAGAAATGAAGTGTGACAAGAGAATGTAAATGAATCAAAATAATTAATATGATCGAGATACACGTCTATGATTACAGCACTCAACAATAATTAAACATATTTTATTTTCAATGTAAGCAAAATTGTATTTTAAAAACCGAGGGTTAGCGCACATTGCATTAGCTTTTTGTAGACTTGAGAATTATGCTACTCGTTAATGAAAACTACGTTATTTAAAATATTGAACGAAAAATTGTGTCAAAAAAATATTTCTGCGAAGATGAAAACCGACAATTCTTCTGATGTGATGTTTGCAAGTTAGTCAATATATTTTTAAAATGATTTCAATTTGAAACGTTCTACTAACATTAAATCAGATTATTAATTGAACTTCGAAATTTGCGTTTTTACCAAAATTCTGTCAATGATGAAGCGACTGTGTAGAAGAAATGCAATAGAGTAACGCCCAAACTAAAAAAAAGTAAACTACTTATCCAGAAAAAAGAGTCTCTCTATAAGCTTAACATAACTAACACTATTCATAAGTCGTGTAACAGCTACAGAAAATGCAGAGTAAAATAATAAAGGTATGGATTATAGAGTTTGGGTAATTTATTTGCTCTTTTATCCAATCAGTTGCTTATCATTGTCTCATATGACTTCTCGCGTACCTACTCGAGATATCGTGAACCTGCTAAATGATTAAGTTTATCTCGCGGTATTACGTCACTTTAGGTTACTGCCCCTCTCCATCCATAAACACCTCGTACCTCGTAAGTCATGTTAGAAGGTTGTTACGCATTCGTTGCTGAATACTGGTGAAGTATGAGGTATATTAGATGTTAGGTCTCTACATCTTGAGGAAATTTGTCAATTCTTCAAAAAAAAATCTTTCTTCTATGGTTTCGGCATCTTGTGCAAATGCGGCATTTCAAAAAGAACCAATCTTACTATTTACACAACGGCTTCCTATGACCTTCTCGACCACAGGATGGAGACCTATCACAGTCTGCAAGAGGATTTCAGGCTTATTTCTGCTTCTCGTTACGAACTGATCATCGTCATAACCAGAGATGCCTACAACGCGAGCACACTTCATCGCATTCATTCTAGCTTTTGCAATTTTTGAAAATCCAGAGAATTAAAATAAGATTGATATAGATAAATTGAGCGAAAATGAGACATGCACTATTTGTAAGTGCCATTTGCTCTAACCATGAAACAAAATTGGATTGGGTTTTTGAACAATTCTTATTTTTGTAAACTGCATTAAATTCAAGCAACAGTTTCGGAAAAAGTACTCCTTTTTGACATATTTTTTACTTTACCTCAGTTTTTAAAACATTTTATTTATGACCAAAATCTCTAGTATAATTTTTATAGTTTTACAATGCTTATTGCAATTTTCGAAAACACAGTTTATGTAAATTGGAACCGGCACCAATTTTTTGTCGTTCTTTGTTACATTTAAGAAGAAAGTGTGAAGCCATTTTTGAGAAAATAATTATTTAATGTATACACGTATTTCACGCAAAATTACGCGAAAAGCACTCACATTTTCCAAAAACGTGGGCATGGCCTTATTTTAAGATATCTTTGAGCAACAGATTATTAGGGAGAGATATCTATTTTCAATCTGGTAATTTTAGGATGACAGCGATAAAAATGGTGGTGATGGTGGTGGTGGTGGTTATGGTGATTATGCTAATGGTGGTGGTGGTGATGGTGGTGGTTTCGATGATGGTGATAATGATGATATTGATGATGATGATGGTGGTGGTAGTGGTGGCGGTGGCGGTGGCGGTGGCGGTAGCGGTGGCGGTGGCGGTGGTGGTGGTGGTGGTGGTGGTGGTGGTGGTGATAGTGGTGGTAGTGGCATTAGCAGTACCGGGCAGTCGAGGTGTTTGTCGAGCAGCTCCTCCCAGCGCAGCGCGTCCGCAGGGGAAGGGGCGTTGGCGTCGGCGTCGGGCCCTTGGCCGTCGGGCGTGCAGGTGAGGTTGCGCGCGCCCTCCAGCACGTCCAGGTCGCCCTTGCCCTGCGCCGCCCACTCCCACACGCCGCGCAGCGCGCAGCCGCAGCGCCAGGGGTTGGCGCGCAGGCGCAGCGCGCGCAGGCGCGGGGAGTGCGCCAGCTGCGCAGAGCGCATCGAGCGCAGCCGGCACGCGCGCAGGTCCAGCGTCGCCAGCGCCGGCAGCTCGCGCAGCGCGTCCTCCGGCACCTGCGCCCAAATATTACACTCTACGTAACGCACTGCAAAAACATAATTAAAGTAATGGAGCTACAACACCACATACTTTCTCGCATTATTTCTAAATTTGCGATTTTCGAGAATTCAGAGAGTTCAACGTAAATGACACCCGCGCGCACAAATGCACAAAGATAATACACTTTGCAACGCATTATAGAACATGTAATAAAAACGGATGTCAAAATTCTTTAGGGATTGTGAAAGGGTCTGAAGTTAATATATGTCATTTTACAGGAGGGGTAAACACAGTTGCCAGACATACCAGGATCCTGGTGCTTTTTATGAGGATTTCAATTAAGATACCATATATTAGGATGAAGAGATCCTGGTGCGTTGCAATATCAGAAATTTAAGTCTTCGGTGGTTGATGATATACTACTTAAGATTATTATAATAATTTGTTTAATAAATAATTTAAAACGAACACCATTGTTAAAATAACTCTGATATTGGTGAAAGCTCTTTACGTCTTTTCAACCAAGTAGCATTGTTGCCAGTGCAATAAGACAATTATACTTCGATATAAAAATACCTGCACTTCAAGGTCATGAGCGGGAAGGAGAAGGGAACACTCATCTAATCAGGAGCTTCGTGATGACATCGTGATCACAATACGCGAACGTAATATTTCGGAGAACTTGAAAAAGTCCAGGTTTCTCGAAGTGATGCGAGTCATCCAGACATAACCAAGAAGTAATGGAGAGAGAATGTATTTGAATGTCATATAAAAACTGTTTAGAGTTACGTTTTGATGTGGTATATAAGATAATGAGTGTCGCCTAAAGAAAATTATCATAACCAATTGACTTTGGATCCACCATTCAAATTAGTTACAATATATTGACATGGGATCTACAGATATTGATATTGCATTTTAACGAGGCGCAGATAAATTAGACGTGTCTGTGCACATGCGTAATCCCTAACACCCTTGAGAAAATTGCAACCTTCGTCAACAGACCACACTTTCAGTAAATGCGTCTTTACTCTGTGAAATTCTGATCGGAAGACAGAGCGCATAAATGATGCATGGTTTGGGAAAATTCTATGACGCAGCATCCGAACAAGTGCGCATTGAAAACTCTAGAATACTTACAACAACAGAGCCTATGAGAGGGTGACTCGCGTCTGAGATGCCACGCTAGAGTCTAATAACGTGAACATTACATCCCACCCATAGTGGGGAAAAGGAAGGGGGTGAATTATCGTGAGAGAAGCAGACGAGCTAAGACGGGCACGAGCAAAATTCCGAACTAGCAACAACACGAACGGCGTGATGCTCGAAGCATCAATTGACGTCACAGCAGTTCGTCGGACCGGGAGGTTCTAGGGGTGGAATCCCGACGGCGTTAGGATTTTAGGCAGAGCTACATGGCTAGGTCGAATTCAGTCACTGTCTGGAAGAGAATTCTAGTCAAAGATGTATATCCTCTCAATTGGGATACAAGAGCCGGAGCTAGAGGCACACACTGCGTGAGGTACTAGAGGAATGATCATTCTTTCTCTTCTATTGGGTATGATTGTGGATAATGTATATATTTGAAATGCAATCATATATATCCCTTCAAGAGCTACTAGTTAAGGTCGACGAAAATTACCTACGAGTTTTGCCACTAGCAAGAAAAGATCACGTAAAACAGGTATTTGCTGCCATTTGAATAAGATATATCTGATTAGATTACAACTTACGTCAATTGGATATGGTCAATTATATTAATACCGGGAAATACATAACACACTGCAAAGAAATGTCATTATCATCAGGCATTCCTCTGCAGTTTGACACAATTCACAGATGTGTTGCAACTCAAATCAATACATTCAATGGATTCCATGAATTTTACTATCTTAAGGAAAAAGGAGGGTACAAGATAAGAATCTACATTATGTCAAAACATCAAGATAATTATAAGCAAGAAATTCTTCCCACTATAACGTCTCACTGTAATCCATATAGTTTCTACGACATTGCAAATTCGGAGTTGACACTGGGAAAATAAATGTCTTCAAGTGTAACTAAAAATTACTATTCTACTAGTATGAAAAATATCGTCTTGATACATGCGTAAGTCTCAGCAGACGTCACGAAAATTTTGTATGTAAGGAGTGTGTTAAAACGCTTAAAAGCTTCGTGAATGGAGGATGTTAAGAAAACTGGCAAAGCTCGTTCATTTTTCAGAAACGTCAGGGAACGATACATAGTTCAAATTTTGTCCAGACGCAAAAAAACTACGGGCACTATTTATGCATTCCGACGTAACCTTATGTAGATAAGTGGGACAGCCCTGAGAGCACAGGTAGAGCTAGAAAGGGTCCTAATCTTGGACGTTCTCGTGACTCAAATGTCGAAGTCGCTTGCTTTTCACCACTGAGGTTCCCGTTTTGATTCTCATAGACTCCCCGTAGAACCTCATGTGAAATTTGATTACCTTACCACTATCCTTATTCCTTCCCAACTCTGGCCGATGGGTAGATGATGCAGGGCGCGTGCGAGACGCGAGCGCGAAGACGCTACCTGTCGGCGATTCCCTGACTTTACTATGACTGACGTGACTTGACAAGACAGCGGCCCCTAGAGGGCGCTTATTAACGGAGGATTACTCCAGTCCGCTCAACGCTCCTTACAGAGTTTGGAAACGCGTTGCGTTGATACAGACGCCACAAATAAAAAAAAATTCTATCCTCTATTTTCATAAAATATACAATGAACTACATTTTTTTTAACTACTCTAAAACACTACATTCTAAAATTAGTTCCAAGGTCAAGATACATTATCCTGAAACGAGGAAGATTATGAATATTTAGTTTATAAGATTCGATTTTCAAAATATCCGTGGAAATTTGTGGTAGATTAACAGATGTGAGAAAGTTTGAAGCAGTTGTTGCTACATCCGGCACCCGGAACAACGTTGGTAGCTCCTCCTCTACTGTGCGGCTACTTAAAGTCATTTTTTTGTATTTTCCCCCACACAAAACAAGGAAAGAAAACCTTTGAAGTGAAGCCGAGACCTTAATGCACAGCAAAGGAAGAATAGTAATTTAAATCATTCGAAAATGCATATAGAATCGTTTCCCGATTTGGGTGCAGATTTTTAGATCCATTCAAGAAGCCTGTTTGTGCGTCGGGAAATGAGAACCAAACAATAACACAAAGAAACTACGTGTGCTTTCCTTCCTATAGCTACAGTAGTATCTGAATTGTTGAATATTTAAAAAGAATATGAGTTATTTGAACGTAATAACTCGTTTTATTGTAAATGTCTTAGGGGCATAATAGTTGATGTCTCATAAGCAGCTATGTGGCAGGAGCAATAACAAACATTTTCACAGATTTAATTGGCTTTTATAAAAAAAGGTGTATTTTATAAAATAAATAATACATAATGTTAAGCATTGTGTGCATAATAAAGACCAACTATTTATGAATGAATCTATCATTTGAGTAAAAAATTATCAGTTGCTAAGCACGTTGATGGGCTGCTGCCTGGCTGTCTGTCGTAGGCAGTGGCTACTGTGAGTCACGTGAGTGGTTACTAGAGTCGGCTTCGTATTGTGAAACGTATTGCGCAGCCAATAACAGAGAAATCGTAATAACTGATACTTCGCATACTGGTTTCAAACTGTTAAGAAATAAGAGTTAAGTATCTGTTGTGGAAAGGTTGGTCGTACCTCCTCGAGGGGGTTGTCGTGCAGCAGAAGCTCCGTGAGGTTGAGCGCGCCGCGCAGCGCGGCGGCGGGCAGCGCGTCCAAGGAGCAGTTGCTCAGGTCGAGCGAGCGCAGCGCGCCCTGGGCGGCAGGTGGCAGCAGCGGTGCGGCGGTCAGGCGCAGGGGGTTCCCCGCCAGCGACAGCTCCTCCAGCGCCGGCGGCGCCGTCGCAGATGCCGACGCCTCGCCCTCCTCCTGCGGCACAGCGGACGCACCTCTGCACTTCACCTGCACTAACGCTCCTTCGCGGATTCACTCAAGTGACAGGGTAATCGTACGCCTCCAGTGAAGGCTCTCGACTGCCATGCGAAGGCTCTCGACTGTTTCTTCAGGGCACTCCAGCTCTGAAGAAGGCCACGATGTTATGGTCGAAATGTGGGCATCACCTCCATCGACTATGGGTCACCCGGACAGTTGACAGACTTAACATGGGTCTAGGCACGGAAGTCTACGAATGCATTTAACACGCCTTTACGGGGACGATTTAGATAATTTAAGCAAAGAATTGGCATGCTAGCCTTACAGTAGACCGCAATATGATGCCCGAAACGCCGGCATCACTGCCCTGGCGCGGTGTCCTCGCAAAGCCGAGAGCCTTCACTTGAAAAGGGGTGACTTAAACAATATCTCTACAGCGTTGTACTTTCCCAATCATTCCTCGTTGTTGAAAGAAAACTGAATTTCGATATCGGGAATCGTTTAGAAAGCCTGAGGGCGAATCGTAGTTCGTGGAAACACGATGTATTTATATAATGTGTATGTATATATGTGAGGGGATGACAATTAATAAATATGCGTAGTTCTTGACATTTATTGGAAAACCAAAAAGTGATTTCTATATTCAGGTTTTTGGTTCAAGAATGAAAATAAAGGGGAAAATTAACTCCACAAGATGTAGACTGGCATTGAAATATAAGTGACACTTCCCTTCAATTTGCTGCGCCCCTTGTACCAATTCTCCTTCACAACATGCCAACTAGCGAGACGAAACAGGCTATCAATTTTCTTTTGAATTCATGCGCCGGCACATTTATGCGGCTATAATTACCAAAAGCTCTGTAACCAAAGGAATTATATAATTAGGAGTTATGACCATTCTGATAATCTAAAAATAACTTCAAGGTTCTATGTAAAAGAAAGTTATAAAATACTCATGTCCAGATAATCGATGATTTATAACGGCATTAAATTTATCGTTTCTTTATCGGCTAGTGCTGTATCATCATTTGAATACAGTGTCTTTGAAATCATTCGCTTTACTTGGAGAAAAAGGGTTCATCACATTTTAGTTACCTTAATTTTAATATTTGAAGTTTAATTCTGAAAAACATCGCTTTGCACATGCATCATGTCATCAACGTCATCTCAAATTATTTGATTCATGATTAAAAAAAAACGACATCTTGACATTGCGTTCAGTTGGAGTAATAAAATGAAGTAACTGCCTATGTGTTTTTATAGATCAGTGCACTAACTGAAACTATTTTTAAATGATAAAAGTTTAACAATTTAATTAGATCTGGTATTTCGATTTTGATCTTACATCAGTTCCCTTATTATGGCCTTAAACATATCATTGGTGTACGGTAAAATCTGTCAGCACTATTGAAATTATGCATTGTGCTTTTTGACGGTGAAGGAATAACAAGTCATTTAATGCTTAAAAAAGTTACTTAGTCTTGATGGAGAGCAGAAGTGACCAAATATATCTGTTACTACACTTAAATATATTCTCCTTCTTAACATTTATTTTAGGTGGGTGTCCTTTCGTATACATTCACGATGTACGTATCTTATCTTTGCTTGAGGACAAAGGCAAATGTTTTGTCTCTAAGGAACAGGTGCCGAAACGCTTTGTAGATAAGCTTTTAAGCGGCACGAGTACGTTATACGAAATGTGTTGTATTACGACCTATTTGTACTTTTTACATTTTAGATCGGTCTTACAATAACAAAGTCTTGTAAAGTGTTTAAATTTCATGATTTGGACACTATTCTTGTTACTTATGTTTGAATGGATACCTATATCATAATTGCATTTTAATTATTTACTTTATTTATTTTCTTTAATTTTCTGATATCTAAAGGGGAAAATATTCTATGAAGTTTGCGTTATACCCTGTTACTGTTGAAAACCCATTATTTCGCACTTCTTGATAAAGGACGCAATGTAAAGAACATTATATTCACACTGTCTGACGCTAGCTAAGTTCCTTTAGGTAAGAATATTATACATTAATACTCAGCATTCCCAAAAAGAGTCAATTTACAAATATTACAAGCACGCCTACAGTGTAGTTATTTGAAAGAAAAAAAACGTCAGAAATTCTAGTGCTATCTAAAAATCACTATTGTATTTGGAATACTTTTCAATTACTGAAAATATATGTATCTAACCGGCTCAACTGAACATCAGCAACGTCACGCAGTAAATGGAAGAACCTTTTAAGGCATTTGCGGTCATTGGCCACCAAGCTGTTGTGCCGAGTCAACGCAAATGCCCATACACGCACTACTCTTAAAGGTAGATGGGTAGTACGCGTATGCGCATCGTTATTGGATAAAAAAGTCAGATAAGTTCCTTTATTCACTGCGTAATGCCCCTGAAGTTCATTTGAGCCTATTAGCTGCCACGGTTTTCATACATACATACTACTACTACCACCACCACCACCACCACCACCGGAGTTGAGTCTCCTCCTTATACTTGGATTTATTTTCAGAGGCAATTGACCTAAGTTCACTTAGGTGTGCTACGAGGGTAAGTCCACTTAGGCTGTTACAGTGTCATGCAATCGGGAGCATGACCGTCACACAGTGACCTCATCAGGACTCGGATTCTGATGACATACTGTCATCATGTCGTGACATCTTGTCATTGGTGCATTCTAGACGTAGCTAACTAGTAAAGGAATGTTTATCACGACATGTTGGTGATAGAAATTTATAGTTATTGAGCCATTGTTTGTTATTTTTCAATTTTCAGGTCATTTTTCTGGACCTTTACGCTATTTGTTTCTTTTTCGTGTGTTTGTTAATGAATGTTTAATGAATTTATGTCACACTCATACAAAGCTTTTATTGTATCATCAGTTCATGGAGAAAATCACTACTACCAGGACTCCCATTTTCGAACTCTCAAAATTACATGGATATTTGGTAACTTCCTCGACCTTTCAAAACTAACGGTTGGAAGATCGGGGCTAAGGATTACATTCCCTCCTAAAATAAAAACTTTATATTTAATATAATTTTATGTAAATAAACTTTATTTATCATTGTATCATTTATTGAATAAACATATTCGTAAACATTCTAGAGTATTTCAAAAATATATCATTTTCCCCTTACTTTTAATACATTTTGTAGGTTATTTTCAAAGAATTTTTAGGTCATCAGAATCCGAGCCCAGCACATAACTTTGGTGACATTCAACATGCTCCTGATTGGATAACACCGTAACCGCTAATTAGGCGTCAAGTGATATAAATAAATCACGGTATACAGCCGTGGCGGTGCGTGGGGTGGGGGAGTTGGCGCACCTGGAAGGCGGCGTGCGTGGGCGGGGCGGCGAGGCCGCAGCGCGCCAGGCGGAGCGTCTCCAGCGCCGGCAGCGCCAGCCCGCCAGGCGGCAGCACCGGCCCCAGCGCGTTGTCCGACGCGTCCAGCAACCGCAGCGACGAAAGGTTGGCGCGCAGCTCGCCAGAGGGCAGCTCGCGCAGCCCACATCCGCACACCTGCGCACGCCCACACCGCACATTCAGCACGTCACGAAATGGACTGGTGGGGAATGAAAGTTCAATTAAAATATAGGTAAAAACGAATGGGATTGTATTCAAACTGCAGGAAGTTTATCCTCGCGACTCGCCTTGAACACTATCCTCTGATTTTTTTGGAAATAAACCAGTGAATAAACTAATATTCAGTAATGAAGGGTTTCCATGCAAATGATATAAAAATATGTCGACCTCATAGAAGATAGTTATGACTTTTACGGCCAAAAATAACTTTCCATGTACATCGTAAGTGAACATGAATATGATTTTCTTTGTTTGCATTTTTTGAAAGCATTTTTCTCATTTTACAATTTTTCTTTCTTAAAGTTCGGAGCATAAAACAGGCTAGACAGGAACTATGTTTCCTAATACATCTGATTCTAAATATTAATTTGAATTTAAATGTATGATCTTCAAAAATTTTAATGTTAATTTCTAACTTATCTAATGATATATCCATTGCATTTTCGAATATTATGTGTAATACGTGTTAGTTATTTAAATTTTAAAATGTTTAAAAATTGTTCATACAATCATCGTTTGGGCATTTTTGGTTTCACGTATTTGGTTGATTTTGGGGATGCATAATATTAATTATTAAACATGAACCTTTACCTTACCCTATTAACTTTTACGTACTGAATGAACGATAATTAAGTTGGTTGTTACAATTATTAACTTCAATAGGCCGCCAGAAAGCAAAAGACAGACGCGATTTACGTTTTTGAGCCGTATTGGTATTCGAGGATTATAACCTCCTAAGCCCAATATTTGTGGGATTAATCGTGTGTCACTCAGTAATTTTAGTATTACCACTTTCGTTTAAAAAAGATAAGAAAAGAAAGGTAAGGTAATTTTCTTAAAAAACGTTCATGCGCAATTTTGGGCAATAACTAATATGTTTCGATTGTTCTTAATGAACTACGGACTGTTAAAATCCTTAAAAGAAACACACACGAATCACTCAGCAGCATCGCCGAGATGCCACAGGCCCCTTCAAACACGGTCACCCTACGGTTCAGAGCTACTAAGCGTGGGAAAAGAAGGATTCGTGAATCGCACCGCAGCAGCGGGCACCGGCGGCCGAAAGACAATCAACATGTAAACAGGAGCGCTCAGTGGCGCTTCCGAGTTACTTAGTTTCTTCAAACTGATCTACAAGCGGCGGCGTGGACAAGCGACTGCGCATCTGCTGGCGGGAGTGTGCCGTTAACCGCCACCTCCGTTTAAACCAATGCCCTACCAGCAGTAGCACTACTCTCAATCGGTATTAAGCGGGCTCTGCGACAAGGGGCTCTTTCGTCCTCTTTATATAACTGCACTGTCGTTATTAAAGCAGGCGTAGCACCTCCATCTCGGCGAGGCCCTGCAGCGCGGCGGCGGCGGGCCAGGGGTCGCGCAGGCCGGGGTTGCCGCAGAGCGCGAGGCGGCGCAGCGAGGCGCACGTGGCGAAGGCGTCGGCCGGCAGCGGGCCCTCCAGCTGCGCATGCGCCAGCACCAGCGCGTCCAGGCGCGCCAGCGGCCGCAGCGCCGCCGCCCACCGCCCCGCGCCGCCCAGCGCGTTGCCCGACGCGTCCAGCGTCTTCAGCTGAAACACACACACACACCAGCGGCTTACAACCAACGCTTCGAGGGCGTTCTCCAACATCACTATTGGGCATTAAACGCTCAGCATGGGGGTTATAAAGGAGTTCCATATGTGGCGTCTGCCTCTGTGGGTGAGGGGTTAGCTTACTGGCCTCTGAACCCCCAGGAGTTCGATCCCGACCGGGGTGCGCGGATTTTCCACAGTAGCCATGTGACTCTTGTGGCATGGAAAAGAACCCTGGCGGTATCCCCGGCAAACATAAATACCTCCAACAACATCATTCTCTAACGAGATCTCGCTTTTCTTAAAATCAGAAAAAAATATTTTTTCTCACTTTTTCTCAAAATCAGAAAAAAATATTTTTTCTCACTTCTTCTCAAAATCAGAAAAAAATATTTTTTCTCACTTTTTCTCAAAATCAGAATAATTATTTTTTCTCACTTTTTCTCAAAATCAGAATAATTAATTATTTTATACAATTACACTTACACTTGCAAGTGAATAACCCTAGGCACCACTATAGTCCGTGCAGGAATAATTTCAATTAGTTACCTAGGATATCTCTGAACCTGATATGTATAGTGTATCGGCGTAAATCGATCTCAGAGTATTTGTACTACTGTGATTAAAGGACATTATTTCCCCATTTTTCAGATTCATTTCAATTGATCAGGAATTCGATTTTAAATCCTGTCCCCTTCCTTCTATACAAAACTACGACCTCTCTTCATTACAAACGGAAGGGTAGTTCTGACAGATTTTCTGTCCAAAAAGAGAACAGCAAGTCGCGCCTCGCGCCTTTAACTACACCTCAAACGTCAACATGACATTCAGACTGCGTGCACGCAGTGAGCTGTCGAGTAGCTGTAAAGCAACCCACTTGTGAAAGGGGTCACTGATTTTATGAAAGACCGCAACCTGCTTGTCTCTGTCTTTACAGACAATAGTCGTTGGAGCTGATTTGAATACTCAAAGCTGAACAACAGGTTCGCGGTTAAAACCTTTTAGGCAACTGGAGGAAGTAAGGTAGTTTTTCGTAGCACCCAGAGGCACTACAAGTACCACCAGTATGATCACTGTAAACTTTCATTCCTTTTTAACCCAGCTCCGATACAAAATATTATCATTGGATTGAATTAAATTAAAATATTAACATTAAATATTTAAATGGAAATTTCGGACCAAATAGTAAAATGACTTTGGAATAGTGAAAATGTAAAGTATGATATCATTGTGACAATATTGAATGTCTGGATTTATCCATTATAAAAATAACTTAATAGGTTAAAAATTGGCTAGATTAAGGTATCAGAGTCATAAACAAATCAAGTAATTTTAAACAAGAAATCGTCGAGGAATATTATACTATTAAAATAATTTTGTCGATGAATTTGGACGTAAAAGTTACGTATGGCTGCAAAGTTTATGTGACGAAATTTGCGGAATTAAGGAAAAAGCCATATCTTGAAAACTGTACAACACAACACAGAAACATCACATTCAAAGTTCAAGAGTAGGTAAGTGCCAATTAATTATTAATCTTGTAGATACGATATTTTTTTTTAAATAAGTGAAATAATGTTATGATTTGTTGGAGCTACGAATGTCTAAGAATGAAGTTTATGATTTTGTAACTTTTTCTTTCTCTGACAAATTTGGGGCAATCTCAGAAAATTACGATTCTTTTGTTCAAATCTCCCCCTCTAAAGTACCCGCAAATGAACCTCAAGGATAGTAGAATTTCAAGGAAGTGCTGCCATCTAACAGCGACTCTTAATACTTCGTGCATCTCTCGCAGGCCGGAAATGTTATCCCAGCGATTGTTATAATTTTCATTTGCTATAATACATTAATAAAACAAAGACAATATGCCGAATGTTGTGTGCTCTTAATGGTACAAAGATGTTGAATTCTGGTTGAAAACAGTACAGGAATTTTTTGAACTCTTATTTAAGAGTTTTTTTTTCTCACACAAACACAAAAGTTATAAATTGACTTAAGAAAACACTGAATAGAGCAAGTATATTTATTACAAATGTATGAAGATGCGATTCCACCGTATTCTAGAGGCTACTCCCAAAACGCCATATTTCTTTAAAAAAATATTATTTTCTAGAATTTATACCTTACTTTAGATGTCAACCTCTAAACATTGGTTTTTTGACCCTCCCTCGTAAATGCCACAGACTAGTAATGTTTGTTAATAAAAAAGTGTAATAAACTTGGTTAATGAAGGTTATTTTTGCAGATTCTTAACACTGATGTAGTAGTAGGGCATGTAGACTATATTACTGATAAAATGGCCTCAGAAAAAGCCAGAAAAAGTAAACATCTAAGAGATAATATAATGCCTAAATAAACGAAGTATTGTATTGTTTCCCTTCCTACATAATAGTAAGAACTAATTTTATACTTAAATGTGTACATAACTTAAATATAAATTAGACTTTCAAAGTTATTGCGTTGTTTCTCTTCCTAGAAAGGAATCTTGGGGTACGCAAAGTTCAAATCTTCCAAGGGGCGCTCATTACCGTACAACTCTGATAGTGGGGTACGTTACGATCTAATATATCTTTCCATTCATCACGTTTTATTTGTAGAAATAATTCTTTTCCGCATTCTCACCTGCGCTAACGGTGCGAGAGCGACTGGGTCCAAAGCCTCCAGGCCGCATCGCGCCACTGATAGCGTCTCGAGTCCCGTGAGAGGCGCTAGTGCTGCCGCTGGCAGCGCGCCTAGCGGATTGTCGCTGAGGTCGAGGGCAGCTAGCGACGAGCAGTTTGCAAACGTGCTGCCAGGTAGCGCGCGCAACCTATTTCCATGCAGGTCCAGGTTCTTCAGGGATTCCGAGGCGATCAGCGGACCCGCCGGTGCTTCCAGTAGATTATTGGCAAGGTTTAGCGTGAACAGTCCGGATGCATTCCTGAGGAACATATAATAATCATATAAACAAAAATTCCCGTAATATTGCGTATACTACACTTCTCTATTATGCTTACGTACAATACGTTCTATTATTTGATTTTATACATTGTCAAATGGCAAGTTTGAAACATTGCCAGGATAAATTTATTTATTAAAAAATGAAAAAAATAATATATCCCTTCTTTACAAGTATTTGAGAAGTATCATCAGGCACTGTATTGAAGATTATCCACAGAAAATGTGTATCTTTGTTGTTGATTGAAATAACACCATTAGTTGTTCGAGTTTCAACCACTTTCAAATGCCAGTACTTTGTGTGATTTCGCGACGAAATTAATTTTTTTGCCAAATTTTCGACATAATTTGGCAACTCGGTCACAATTTTGTTTCACGCGTATTTCGGAAACTAATAATCAGATTGAAGTCTGGTTTGCTCCATTGAATTTCTCCTCGAGAGATGTACTCACGTACGTGAATACAGTAAGAAGAGACCACATTAATTGTTTGCCAAATTTTCCACCAAATTTGGCTATTCGGTCACAATTTTGTCTCACGCGTATTTCGGAAAAGAAAAATCAGATTCAAGTCTGGTTTCCTGCAATGAATTTCATGATGAGAGATGTACTCACATACGAGATTTCAATAAGAAGCGACGAAATTAATTTTTTGCAAATTTTCCACCAAATATGGTCATTTCTTCACAATTTTAATTCACGCGTATTTCGGAAACTATTAATCGGATTGAAGTCTGGTTTGCAGCAATGAATTTCTCGTCGAGAGATGTACTAACATACGTGATTTCAGTAAGAAGCCACAAAATTTTTTTGATCAAAATTTTCCATCAAATTTGGCGACTCTGCCACAATTTTGTTTCACGCGTATTTCGGAAACTAATAATAAGAATGAAGTCTGGTTTGCTCCATTGAATTTCTCTTCGAGAGATGTACTCACATTAGTGACTTCAGTAAGAAGCGACGATATTAATTTTTTTCCAAATTTTCCACCACATTTTGCAATTTGGTCGCAATTTATTTCACGTGTATTTCGGAAACTAATAATCGGATTGAAGTCTGGTTTGCAGCAATGGATTTCTTGTCGAGAGAACACACATACGTTATTTATAAATATGTGGAAAAACAGGGACAAATGATCAGTTCTGCTTTCAAACGTATTGTAATTTAATATTATTTTCATGTTATATCTTGCAAAGGTATTTGAGATAATTTTTTTTTTACATTTGAAACAAAAAGTTTTTTCTGAGAAAATTATTTCCTTGTTACTGGTGTTCAAAGAATTACACAATTATTGCGACAGTTTCATTTATGGAAGAGAAACTGAAATGAAATTTGTAAAGTCTATTACATTATTCGATGTTTGGTGAAAAAGAATCAGAACACAACTACTTGCAGACATCAGAATACATGTAATCGTGCGATAATGAAAAACGTCGACAGGTTAGTGACTAGCCATCAAGATTTTGAAAAGAAGTGAACACAATAATTTATGATTTTACTTTTCTCTTACTATTCGTTTTGTTCACTGAGAAATCTTTTTACTGCTTTGCCGATGTGGGCTATGGTTATAAATTCTGGAATTGGGAGAGAGATGTTCTCGTGTTCGGGGCCAAGAGTTAATAGTGAAGAAGGAAATTGCGCTCAAAGAGAATGTTTGTCCAGTGCACTGAGTGGTGGAATTGCCTTACATGTGTGTGACACAAAGCTTAAACGCTATATCTCCCAGCTATAAACTATGGGGTGGAAATCTGGGGAGTGGATACAGTAGATCGATTGGAAAGCATGGAAACAAATTATTACAAATTAATTCTCGGAGCATTTATACTAGCAGCAGTTATTGGAGTTTTAAGAGACATCGGTAGAGTAGGAATTTGGACAGAGTTTAACATTAAACCCATTTAACTTCGGAATAGGTTATGTAGCAGGTGAACAGACTGACATACTTATACATACAGTTAGTGTAAAATGTGAATGGTTACTTGTCCTTTTCACTCAATAATAGCTCTGATTCGAGTTTTACGCCACAGCAATTTAAGAAGAAAAAATAAATTTATTGCAACTTGATTGCTCTCTTCATTTAAAACAAATCATCATCTTGTAGGCCAATTCTCGACTCTTTGAAACGAAAAGTCTTCGACTAGTGTGGAGGAAAACTGCCGCAGAGTTCTAGCAGCAGAATTTAATGTCGGATATGTTTCTTTCTTAGTATGGGAGTGTACTAGTGCTAGTGGAGTCTGAAATTTGCCCTTCATAGACATTATAATGAACCAATATGACTACATTTATATTTTAAGAAATACTGATAATTCGATCGAACAAAAATGAGGGGCTGCTGGGATTATATTCAGAAATCTTTCAAAAACGATGCAAATCCACTGGTCATTACAATTTTTGAAACGCGTTTTGGCTCTCAGGGAAGTAAGGTGAAATGTGTCCATTCAGACGTATTAGTTTTGAGGATGTTTGGAAGAATAACCATCACCAGAAAGCAGTGCGTGTCTGGACACGTTTCTTATTTTCGTCAACGAGGCGCAAACAGAAAGTACGTTTCCGTAGTTCGTCAACAAAAAGAAAACAAAATTTCAATAAAAAATACTAGAAAAACCATATGGCGCATGAAGCGCTATTTTTCCACGAAATTACCACTAAAATAAAGACATTCATCTGTGGAATCAACATTTGAGTGCCTGTAATATAGAATTCTGCCGTCTGGGATGAGTGCAATGTTTTATAACCACTTTTAACTCTCCATCACTATGATACAGATAATGCGGACCGGGTAGGAAATTCTTAAAAGTGTGAGAATGATGGAAATCGCAGGCGGCGAAATACGAACTTCAAGGTAGTAGTGAAACACTCCTGCAGCAGAGCTGCTGCGAGGATCTGGAGTCACACATTGTTAACTGGTGAACCATTTAATGAAAATGCTTATCTCAGTAATAATAGTTTGAAATATATGAATGAGCGAAAAGCAGAACGGTAAAAGACACGTTTTATAAATTCTGAGAAAAATGGTGGACATTTTAGGCTACATTTCAGTGGCACTGTATTTTCGTGGTTTTAAAAATCAATTGAAACGCCGTGGTTATAATGATCAAACAAAGCACCACGACGTTACAGTGAAATGGACTTAAATGAACTTGCTGTGGTGTGAGCTGAAATGTGAGCTGAAATGTGAGCTGAAATGTGAGCTGAAATGTGAGCTGAAATGTGAGCTGAGGTGTGAGCTGAGGTGTGAGCTGAGGTGTGAGCTGAGGTGTGAGCTGAGGTGTGAGCTGAGGTGTGGAGGGGGGCGGCGAGGGCGCGGCGTGGCGTGGCGTGGCGTGGCGTGGCGTGGCGTGGCGTGGCGTCGCGGGCTGCGCCAGCGCAGTCGGCCTTGAGCGCGGCGAGGCCCGGCGCCGTGGAGCGGAGCAGAGCGCATGTTTCATTCATGCGGCTGCGGGGCCTCGCAAGCACCGGCCGCGACGAGCGGGAGGCCGCCGTTGCTAAGGGACTCGACGGGGCGGTAAGCTCTCCACCATCCGACACGAGAGGCCGTCTCACGGACCTCTCAATACATGATCACGCCTTTTGATTGTTTCATCTGCTATGGTCGTGGGCGCCTGGGGACGCCAAGGGGAGGAAAAGGATAAACAACGGAAGTAAAGGAAATGGGAGGGAAAAATAATGCGTGGTTCGTTAAGTACGCAGTCATTTCTGAGCTTAAGCAAAACACGGGGCTTATGGTGGATTCGGAGTAATTTCATACTTGGCTGTTCGGGTTGGGCGGGATTATAGAAGAGTAAAACCCCGTGCAATATGGAAATATTCGTTAAAGAAATTGAAGCCGTTATTAAGAAAATGTCGTTTAAGCGTTACTGAGAAACGAAAAAAAAAAAAAAAAAAAGTTACATTGGACGGCGATGGAAAGCAGCTGGCAAGAGTATATGGCTAGTCCGAAAAGCTATCCCAGACCAAAGAAATTGAAATCTGTGCCATTCTGTAGTACCACTTGTTCAATATTGTTTGGGAGGCATCGTTAAGTTAAGCTTAGGGGCCCTAGGGACCCCAATCCTTCCCTGTGCGTTGGCAACGTGGAGGAGGCCGCTGGACAAAGGGCACAGGGCGTGTGGGCGTGTCGAGTGACGCGAGTGCGAAGACGCGGCGCTGTTTAAATGGGTCACGTGGCGCCTCTCGCGCAGCCCATTAGCGCAATTCGCACGCGCACGGCCTCGCGCCCACGCGATACGACACGACACGACGGACGGACGGGCTAGTTTCTCCTGCATTCACTGTCCGCGAGACATCTCAAAGAAGACGGTACGGCCACGTGACGCGCTTGGGTCTTACGACACACTTGTGCTCGTTGCAGCACAATTAAACCTGTTATCTGAACTCAATGACACACATGCACAAATGCACATGAACACACATGCACATGAAATTGACATTGAGATCCTGTTAATATATTCTTCTCGGAAACTGATGTTTCTGATCATATGGTCCCCAACCCATAGCATTCAAATGTGCCATGAAAAAAATTCTCGTAGAATATCCGAGAATGCGTTACGTGAAGTCGAAGGATATTTTAAAGTTGTTAGCGTTTATTACACAAACGTTGACAACAATCGGTGTAAAACATGTTCAAATAATCAGCCACTTAATTGGTATTGACGTCTTCTTGCATATATGCGACGCATTCTTTGTTAGCGCATTATTTTGCAGGCGAATTGTCAAATGTGGAATATTTGCGGCCAAAGGAAGTTATTTCCTAAATGATGGGGAAACGAGGTGTAAGTGGTCACCAGTGATATTTATATATCATCTTACCCAGTGAAAGTTTCATTGTGATAAACACTGCCTCTTCGGATGATATCACAAACTGTGATGAGTTCATTTTTACATTCTTTTGTACTAAATCCCTATACAGTTTTTAAGGAACTCCGAGTTAGCGAATTTTCTGATGTGCGGTTCCGCCCCTCCCGGCTAGACAACTTTCTCTGCA